CCGCCTAGCCACTTCGAGGCGAAGTGGCTTAAGGAGGGGGTGATGTCAGGGCACACCCACCTGACCCCACACCCAGTCCGACCCTACCCTCACCTGGTGCCCCCGTCCTCCCTCCTCCCTTCTCTCCTCCCTTCTCTCCTCCCTTCTCTCCCCTTCTCTCCTCCCTTCTCTCCTCCCTTCTCTCCTCCCTCCTCTCTCCTTCTTCCTTTCCCTTCTTCCTTTTTCTTTCCTTTCTTTCTCCTTCTTTCCTTTTCTACTACATGGACGACTTCCTTGCTCAATGTACCATTAACCAGGCTGCACAACACACCCGGACCTGGACACACCGGACGCTCCTGAGATCTCTTACAGAGATGCCCAGGCAGATACAGCTGTGCACATAGATGACGTGGCACTCCCCACGTGACCTTCAACTGCATGTACATAAACACAGCCTAAGTGGGAACTGAGAAGTAACCTTCTTCTCACACTTCCCACTTTAGGCAAGTAGCTTACATCCCCCTGCTAATAATAATAACACACTTCCCACTTTAGCCTAAGTGGCCAGGGATGCCCTTTTGTGCCGGGCCCATTAGTACGCGCGCCCGTGCTACACCCTATCGGGTCCTCAGTGCCAGGTGACACATCTGGGTGCCCTCGACCCCGGGTCGCTCCCTGACACTATGCAGAAGACTTCGATCGCCATTCCATTACCAGTGCCATGTTCATTATGTCTGGTGGACCAATTGCATGGACGTTGAAAGAGGGCTCACGGCTCTCTATGCTGTCAGGGCTCGGTCCTCGATCGGGGACAGCCTGACCTCAGTCCTAGGTGTGCGCGGTGTCCCGGGTGGTTGGGCGCTAGACCCTGTCCTCAGCTCCTCAAACTCACTGAAGGGACTAAGCGGGGATTGAGTTGAGAAGAAGGGTAAGTTTCCCTATTCCCCGCTTGGCTACTATAAAAAGGAAGTGTACTGTACAGTTCATAACGTGACTCCGGGTAGAAGCCGAGCATGTTCCCGCGACTCGGAAAAGGTGTCACATGGGTTAAGGCGAGTTGCTCGCCTTAACCCACGTGATTTTTCCTGCGGGCTCACATGCGGGCTGAAGTTGTGAGAGGTATGTAGGGATGGGGAGGTCTGGGAAGTGGGGGAAGTCTGGGAAGGTGGTTCTGGGGTGTGGTTGGGTGCCCTGACAGCGGGGTCAGGGGTCGATCCCTGACATATGCCGACCAAGCTCGTGGGGCCAAACTCTCCAAAACCTCTACTTTCTCTCTTGACTTCGCTATGCTCGATCCTGAAACTCCGTGGTGGGTTCTCCGGGATTTCCGCAAGGTCCGGGCTCAGCGTCCACTACTCACTCGTTGTGAGCTAGATCACTGCCCTTATTCCTACTGTTGGAATTCCACACACTCACACCCTCTCTAGCGCGTCCTAGCACCTTAGAGAAAAATGGGGGAGGGGAGAACTTCTATTCCAAAAATCCGGTATGTACAGGATTATAAGAAATAATTATTTTTAGAAATAATAGATGGTGAATATTGGTACCATATGGCACCTGGGTACCTTATTAGGTGAAATAATAAAAAGGGTAACAGTAACAATAAAAGAATATCAATCAATAACTGAAATGATGGCAAAATATGAAAATAAAAGAAAATAAGCAATATCTCAATGGATTTGCGGAATTAAGAGCCTAAATTGGAAATGTAGCCGGAGATAACTCTCACGCAGCCAATGAGCATTTTTACCAATTTATTAGACGCCGTGGGAACGAGTGAGGCTGGAATTCTGGGTTGCTGCTTGAGATTCCCACTGTTATGGAAATGGGAATTTCCCATTTTAGACTCTTATGGGTTCTGTATCACATGATTTGTATAGTAATTAAGTTTATCCAATCAATAATCAACAAAAACCCGCTGCCACACTACCTGTTCAACAACATGTTAAACCATCTGTGAAACAACCTGTAAACCCTTATGTCCAACCCCCTTCCCTATTCCTGTGCCAGAATGGACGAAAATGGGCGCCTCCGGCCCCATTTTTGTAACACCCATGCCTGCACATACTCGTGACCTGCCGTGCCTAACTTGCCCTACACAGAACTCCGTCAATTCTCCACCGATTAGGACGTTCTTGGTATCGATGGGATCGTAGGAATTAGGACTATTTTTAGATACCGAATCCGTATCGAGTTGTCGCATGAATGGAAGGGGTTTTCTAATCGTAGAAGCGGGTATCCGAGCCGGCTCTGCGCGTGGGCGATTATCCCGCCTACAACGTCGAAGAAGCAGGGCACTATTGCCCTTTCTACGTTGGAGGCCGAATATGCTGCTATCAGCCATGCTGTTCGGCACATACTTTGGCATAATATGCTTATGGCAGAACTAGGTTTTGAGGCCCCGTGTCCATTCAGGCTCAACAGTGATACATCAGCAAAAGTCCGTTATGCTCCGGAGCATCAGGAGTGGCTGGAGCATGTGGGAGACAAAACAGCAGATTGGGCACTCCTGGAGCCAATAGTGTTCTCCTGGGAGGGGGTTCAGGAGCGGCTGGGAGTGGTGAGGAGTATGCAATGTGCCAGGAGCAGTGGGAGGAAAATTTTGGTCTCTAAAAAGTTGAAAAAAAAATTTAGGGAAAAAAATCAAAAAAATTCAGGAACTATAGTGCCTTTAAAGTGCTTTCAGGACATATAATTATTTGCGAAATTGAGGAAGAAATGATGGAGAAAAATGGAAAATACTTTCGGAGACCCAAGAAGTAATGAGAACTGAATTGATGGGAAAGTCTGAAAATTAAAATTGAATAGGAAAGTGAGGGGAAGCCTTGTAGCATTGTTATTTTCTGCTGTTGTGATTTTCCCTGATTGTTCTTGGTCTCACTCCCAGCTGCTCCTGGACCCTCCCAGGAGCTTTCAGGAGCTTCCAGGAGTATTGAGGAGCAGCTGGGAATGAGACCAAGAAGAATCAGGAAAAATCACAACAGCAGAAAATAACAATGCTACAAGGCTTCCCCTCACTTTCCTATTCAATTTTCAGACTTTCCCATCAATTCAGTTCTCATTATTTCTCGGGTCTCTGAAAGTATTTTCCATTTTTCTCCATCATTTCTTCCTCAATTTCGCAAATAATTATATATCCTGAAAGCACTTCAAAGGCACTACAGTTCCTGAATTTTTTTTTTTGATTTTTTCCCTAATTATTTTTTCAACTTTTTAGAAGTCCCTATTTTTCAAATTTTCCTCATTTCCCTCTATATTCCCCCTCATTCTCCCCCTCATTCTCCCCCTCATTCTCCCCCTCATTTCCCCCTCATTTCCCCCCTCATTTCCCCCTCATTTCCCCCCTCATTTCCCCCCTCATTTCCCCCCTCATTTCCCCCCTCATTTCCCCCCTCATTTCCCCCCTCATTTCCCCCCTCATTTCCCCCCTCATTTCCCCCCTCATTTCCCCCCTCATTTCCCCCCTCATTCTCCCCTTCCTCCATATTCTGCAAGTCCGAAAGTGATTAAGTTGCCAGATTAATCATATATCAGGCCATAAATTTTGACTGTGTATTGGTGAGTCTCAGTGTCCTTGATGTATAGTATAGTGTTTGACCTAAATGTTAAGTAGTGTCTTGTTGTGTTAGTCTTGTGGTAGGAGGTATTCATGGGGAGTCTTCCCTCTTTTTTTTCCTTTTCATTTTCAAATGCTCTAGGAGCTCCCAGAAGCTTCTCACCCCTATACATTTTGAAGCATTAAATTGTATTTACTGGATATGTTTGTGCACAAAGCAATGCTCCATGCCCTCCTGGGAGTGCCCTGGAGTACCTGACCAACTCCGGAGGAAATGAGCTGTTCCTGGACCGGCCAATCTCCTCCTGATTCTCCCAGTGCTCCCCATACTCCGGAGCACTCAGGAGCATAACAATTTTTTGCTGATGTAATCGAGGCACGATAGCGTTGTTGCATGACCCTCAGTTCCATGGCCGCAGTAAGCATATCAATATCCATCATCATTTTATTCGCGACCACGTCGAACATGGAAATATTTCTATTTTCACATCCGTTCTGAAGATAACTTAGCTGATATTTTTACTAAACCGCTTCCAAACCCCGTTTTCACCAAATTTGTTTCTTCACTAATGGACAACGTCATGACTTGAGGGGGAGTGTTGGTTGAGCAAGACATGACGACGTGCCAGTACGCATATCATGCCCATATCGGCTAGCCGATATGATACCCCTTCACCATGTGCTGCGTGTCTCACTGTTGACTGCGTTCCACATGTAGCACTTGCGCGTATCTCATCCTTTTATTGTTCTTGTCTGATATCTGTGTAATTACCTTAACTACTTATACCGCTGTGCAGTTACAATATCAAGTTGGTTGTTCCCCGTTATCTGAGTGTCCCCGCTGAGAGCTACATAACAACACGCAGAGTTAGGGCCCACATCCATCTCAGCTTCAGAGCAGTGGAATGTACCTTTCCGCTACTTCAACTCACTTCAAAATTGGCACAGTTGCTCTATGGGTGTGAATGCAGGTTTTGGTCACTCAGATTTCTGAGAATCTCCCTGATGCATGAGAAAAGCGCGTGCATTTCCAACATACTGTAGTTATGTATAAACCTGTTTCGAAGTGAGTTCCCATACCACATATGCATTTTAATATATTATCAGGCAATAATTATACAACACTTAATAGAAGTTGTGTGGTTAAATGGAGTGGCTTTGAGGTGAGCGCCGTGGCCATATTTTGGGAATCACGTGACATTTTATTTTCTCAGACCTCTTCCCTCATTTGCCGACCCCCACATTATGCCCTAATTTGCTTTTCACGCGCGTTGTTATGAAAACATAACGTCGGATCCGCCGCGCGCCTTCATACATAATACGACTCTTGCTATCTCCCAACCCTAATCCTCGCGGCCCCATAACTACCCGCATAGAGTAACGGAGTAGGGTTCACCAAGAGCTAGAACGCGCTGTTCTGTATTCAGCTTCGCTTCAAACGAAAATCGGTTGGCAGTGGGGGTTAGGAGACGTTGTCGATTCGAGTGCATTTTACATGAACACATCGTGAGCCCGACTAATTAGATGGCGCCCACCTCCTTGCGCGGTAGTGGACTCATGGCGACGTCGAAAATTTGGACCGGGGAGCCAGGAGGCAAGATGCCGGTACTACGTAGGACTTGCTATCAGAATCCGCCTCCTGTAATGTTGACACATGTATTATTTCGACAGCTCCCGAATCTTGTCCACACTGAACATCGCGCGCATTTTCAGAGAAGCTACAGCGCATGAAGATGTCCTCGTCCCCAGAGCCAACACTTCGTGCAGCAACCACCATGTGCATGCCTTAAGGCTTGACTCGGCTCAGTTGCGCAACATATTCCGCCTTTCGGAATGGTTACCCTTAAATAAAAAAGGACCAGCGTCCCTTCATCTCCTCGACGACTGACATGCTGCCCGACTCTTTGGCACCACGAAGCCCCCATCCAGGTGCTGGGGGAAGACGGCCCAAACAATACCATAGACATGCCTGTACCCAATGCAAGCGAAGGTGCGAGACGCCCACAACCTATAGTTGGAGAACAAAGTAAGAACTGACGTTCGTACAGCAAGCGTGGTTGTGATCGGGACTGGGCCGTTGACGGCGGGAAGTGTTCGGTTTGTGACAGATTGCAAGTCTCTGTGAGTCTCCTAGAATCAAGCCGGGTTTCGAATGTTTACCCCGATCTCCAAGTGCGACTATCCGCTGTCTGAGCCTCCTTCGAACGGCGCTGGAACGCCGTTCCAGTGTAGCTCTAGTGTCAATCTGCTTGTGACACCGTCAGGTGTGGCATCTCATCCTTCCGAGTCGTGATGACTCGATTGATTTCACCCACTCTTTCAAGAGGACGCCGGGATTTTGGACGGTGTTGAACTTGCGGAAAGCCATTTTCCAGGAATTTTCGACCGAGATCGGTTCACGGAGCGCTCAATGCGTCCCATGGAGGTAAAGCGCGATGGTCATGAACATTTCAGTCCTATGTTACATTGGGTCTTCTGCCTCCTTCGCAAGAGCCTAGGACCGTATGAATCTCGGGAGCTCTTGGAGAAAGCAAAACGAGCTTTTGGAGAAGAGTTCGAGGACCCTAGTCTCGCCACCATCATGGCTACCATCCTCCTATCAGAGATGCTGTCTAAGTTAGAAGAACCCTACTGGCAGTTTGGTAAGCCTATTTCGTCGTTTGGCGTTCTCTTCTTGTTCATTGCTCACGTCTTCGGTAGGGGAGGATTTATTAGGCAAGTCGTTTCAGTAAAAGCGTATCGGCAAGTTTCTTACATCGGCTGCCATCATGCAGACAATGCATATGCATGTTAGCACACCATTTTTCGTATTGGTATATGGCATCGCTGAGCATTTTTTCAGGGTTACATTCATGCCACAAGCGCGATCTCCTGAAAAATGTGCCTTCCAATAATATTAGGCAACTTATGGAGAAAGTCCGTGCGCTTGTATGTTTATAAATGGAAATACCCCAATTCGCTCATAACTGATTATGGCCGGACCTTAGGCTAAGGAAGCGGGATTCGGGTTACGTGACCACTGCACCTATGAGGCGACTCAGCCTCAGCTGCCTCCATCATCGACGCATGAGTATGCGCGACTTATGATCCCTCAGGCCCCCACGCAGAGCGTGGATGCTACCAACATGAACGCGACACCAGTGGAGCCGCTCGATGGCTATTTGCTTACCGGATCCACGCTTGATAACTTTAATAGCCTTACCGCTACTCAGGAGCCTGCGTTCGAGCCTTGGAAGCTTAATTTGAGTGACTGGCGATCGTTTGCATTATACAACAGGTCAGCCAATGCGATGGAGTTTCCGGTATCCATTTTCATCAGCTTACAATGTCTTCCCCTGCCCTTGTCCCAGGCCCTAGGCCCTTCATTTGATTATTGAGAAGCTAGCCCTGGTTGGTTGTATACATACGTTGGAAACGTGTGTAAGTGGATTGATGCGTTCGAGGCATTGAGTTTTCAATTCAGTGCCAGTACGGCATGATGTATGTTTGCCAAGGGTCAGTGTTGGACATGATGACGCGCCGGTACGCGTATCATCGGTTATTGACATGATACCTCTTGACCATGTGTTACATGGTTCGCTGTTGCCTACGTTCCACATGTAGCGCTTAGGTGCAATTTCCTTATCACTTTGTCTGATATCCTTTTATTACTTTAGCTACTTATACCGCCGTGCGGGCTATAACGTCAACTAGTTCTGTTCTCCCTCCCGTTCGAGTGTCCCGCTGAGTGCTCTAATCAACGGTCAGAATGATAGCTAATCCTGGTGGAACGCTTCAAGGGTGGATGTGAAGCCACTTGAATTTGAAATCCTCGGGTAGGGTGAACTGCACCTCAATTGATTACCCTTCGATAGAGCTACTCCATTGAATGTTTCCCTCCGTGACATTTTCTCCGAACTCGCCAAATACGTTATGATAGAGGTCTTGCTCATTCCCCCATTCCCATTTTAGGTCACCTTGGACGCCTTGGACGCCTTGGTTCCGATATATCGAGGTTGGCCACCTGCCTAGTCTCTGGACCCTTTCCACAGGTCTGGCTAGCCGGCTCGACGTCATTGTCTGATCCAAGGTGGCCGCGGAAGATCAAGGGCATTGAGGCTGTTGCTCTTTGGTGGAGTTATTGAGACCGGAGTAAACGATGGGGCCGACTCAAGCTAGGCCGATTCCGTGCGGCTCCTTGGGCTTGTTCCCTGACGCTCAACTGACGTTGCATGTGTGTTTGTCTGCTGTGACTCTCTCCCTCCTCGTTTCCCGGAAATCTCACCAACGGATACTATTCGACAGGCGTACATTCTTACGACTGAAAATGAGCTTGCGAGGTGGAGGCGCATGACACTACATTGGCCGAAAGAAGATCACGAAGGGGAGACGATCGGATCGATATTCCTCAATTTCTATCCAGGTTTGGAACTGTGTGGGGTGTAGGTGCAGCTACTGCTGCGATTTATTGGAACTCGGAGACGATTGTATTCGCCACATGCACACCACTGAACACAACCTCGTTGATGTGGAAATGAAGTGTGAAAATGGCTAGCTCCAAGGTCATTACTATTTACTGCTATGGTGAGAAGGGTTATATGCCTGCATTCTTATGGATCGCGTCAGGGATCCACCCCAGCGAAGATTGTTGGAGGAGCGTGCCATGACGGTGCGCTGGTACGCCAATTACTGTTCATATCTTTATGCCACTTCTACCTTGTTTTATCTCCACGCAACGCTGCAGCGTTCCACGTGTAGCAGCGCACACCATCCGCCCCATGTCATTTATTAACATCAACCAACAGTAATAGTATTACTTTTATCACCGCTCGGTTCCATTGTTGAATCCATGAACGAAGCCATTTGGATAAAAACTGCATAGCTATCCTCGTGTAATGTTTCAAATGATTACTGGAGAACATCAAACACTCCCCAACAAATAATAACCTCACGCTCACTGCGCGTTGTTGGAGCATTCATGAAAACACATTTGTGTCATATATTCAATTCGTGATCGTGTACATTGACGTGCTGTCAGCTTATTAGCCGGTTTCTGGATTCTGCGTGCTGTTCCGCAAAGCTTAAGGCTTCGTTCGGTATGGAGAAACAGGTTTCTTTGGTCTGTTTCTTCCTGTTTCTTAATACAAAAATTGCGTGTTTCTTTAGGTAGAAGAAATGAGAAAGAACATTGAATTGAAAAACTGGAAGAAACAGGCCTGTTTCTTCATACCGAACGAAGCCTAAAAGTTCTCGTTGTTGATGATGCTGCTTCTTGTTACAGGTTTCATGATTATGTAATCCATGTCTGTTACCCTTTGCACTTACATAAGCAGTACCTGACATAATCTGGCAATGACACGATCGAGCTTATCGTAAAGTCTGCGGCAATCGCTAACGATCGCTGCCGTGTCCCTCATACACCTTCCTCTCCTCGCTTTGTCACCATGTATTGGATCTTGGCCAGGCCTTCTGCTCCTATGACTAGAGTGTTCTGAAAACGATCCGCAGGTAAGAACGCGGCGCTACATAGATTTTCCCCTACTAAGCCTGGAAACCTTGCACCCGAATCTTCCGCCCCTCTGTCGCACGGATGCAGCTCAGATCTCAGCTTCTTGTGTCGCTGAAAATCGAGGGTCGCACCGCAGCACATCAAGCCCTACATGCGTATGGTGTGCCGCGCGCGTCGCATTGTTTTCCGCTTTCCGCATGAGTAGGGAAAGAACGAGGAAATTAACTCATGCCCCTTCCCCCCTCAGACTTCTCTGCCTATCCCTTGGATCGATTAATTTCTGCCTTTTCTGGAACGGTGCAAAACAGAATTGCAAAGCTCCTGTGCGGCGGCACGCACATGCGCAACATCTAACATATAAATAATGCAGTCGACGCTGGCGATCAAAGTTTTCGAGAGCAAGCATCCCAACCATCCCTTGTGTGTGCTCTGCAACAGAACATCGAGATATTTCCTGGAATTCGTTTTGAGAAAACTTCTTCCCGGGCGTCTTCGATGAACAACATACAAACCCACTCTTATGTTGGACCTAAAACAAATGGAACCGATAAAATGGACGCACTTACGTTCTGGCATAGTTCATTACCTGTTCGATGTCGTTGATCCAGTCCGCCACCGTCAAGAACAATAACACGTCGCATCCGCAGAACAGGGGATACAGGTTGGCTCCGGTCCCAGTAGGATCAGATGCACGTACATACACATAATGAGCCGAGGAGATAAACAATGAACTTGGGTTGGGTCATAGTCAGAAAGAATGACCTGTGGGAGAGCGCCCCTGAAATGGTGGAAAGAATGCGCTTGATAGCTTAACGAACAAACTGGATGGTCAAGAAAGGGCCTGAGAGTTCATGATGGGAAGAGATTCCAGGGGTTGGTAAGACATTGACAAAGATATTTGTGTGGTGAAAAGTCCTAGTGCGGAAACCTATGCTTAGCCATTCTTATCGCCCATGCCGTTGACTGCTTCATCCTAGCAACGACGATGATGACGAAATAATTGCGTGCAGTTGATTCAGTCCGGTGAAAAGGGGTATGCAGAAAGAATGAAATGAGATAACAGTTCGTGCCAACTACCATACAACATTACGAGAAAGTCAGGACAGAATGATTCTCTAATGGTGTAGCGGCCAAACGAGTTGCGCCACATCGTCTTCCAGCGCCCCAGGCGTCCAACGACATTGTAACACATTCACCTGTGAACAAGCTCGTATCCGCAGTACCATAGGAATGGTCTCAGGCTCTCGATGACTAGATGAACGTCCTGCTGGGGTGATGGCGGAGGGTATGAATCAATAAATACAGGTGTCGACGAATTCGAATTCGCTTGATGGCCATCTCCTTCCGGACTGTCGATGGTTCGGCCGGTGATCCTTGACGGGTCCGAGGGCCCATGATACACAATCCGATCCGGTGCGTCATCCAAGAATGCTGTAGAATTATCCATAAAACATTCAAGTAGCGGATCAAAATCCGGGATGGAATTTGAAGAGTACGTCGGAAACAGAGAGGACACGTTGGACTCCATCACTTCAGAACTGCCGACAGGGGGAGTTGGGGGGGTCGACGCGTCACCTAGTCCAATCTGGCGTTGAGGCGAGGCTTCCTGGTATCGAAGTGCCTGGGCGGCTCGGGTATTGAACCGGCTCAACGTGGCCTGCTCCAGTAAACGTGAAAAGTTCTTAGTCATGGGTAGTGGGTCTATGGGAAAAGCCACTGAGATAAACATGGAGACTTATTGCATTTTGGCCCTTACGGTGAGTGATGCGAGACGTCGCCGTTGCAATAGCCTGGCGGATCTCTTCGTAAGCAGCTTCACAAGCATAGTGACGCTGTGCGTAATTGTTGACTTATGTTGGTAGTCCGTGATGCCACCAAGAAATACCCACCCTTAGCCCAACTGGGATAGACCCTACTCGCTCATGGCATCGCAGTCGAAGGCGGTTGCAGTCCGTGCAGGCAAAGCTTCCGGGAGGACGTGTGCATCCCTAGTAACCGATGTCTAGTAAGGTTCTGCAAGGAAATCTGATGAAAGTTAGACGGCACCTTGCCCCTGAGGCGACATACGAGGCATCCTGCGGAGCGACGTCTTGGTATTGTGGTAGGCATGAACAGCGTTTAGGGAAGAGATGGAAGGAATTCTGAACCAGCAGAAAAAAATTATACCTCCCCTCACACCCACGATTGAGCCGTTAAATAGAGCAAAAACAACAGTTGTAGGAGCGGCGTCGGAAATTGCAGGGCGCCCAACTTCCGCAACATCGCGTTCGTCGCATGTATCTCACTCCAACGAATGAGGCCTTTCCATAGCAACCCACCGTCACTTGCTTGTAATATTTCCGCAGCTTAGCAGGCCCACTTCAGCATGGGTATTGCTTAACGGGGAGGGGGGAAACGAGGATATTCCGATGAAAGGGAAGTGGTTCGCTGTTGCACCACGAATCAGTGGGCACGATGTGAGAAAAAGGAAAGGGGCTGGGGTATTGAGAAATTTACTGTAATTGAATAATTTCCTTCCCAGGCCATCTGAATCAACATTGGAATGTCTAAGGCCTACCACGCACGTCCCATATTTGAAGAGGAACAGGGATTCTTCGAGCCGCGAAACAGCCATCGACCCTCAATGCAACGTTCAGCTTTGTATACCAATAAAACCGGCGCGAGAAGGGTAAAAAAATCCGCATTGAAGGGTCTGCCGCGTGGTGTATAGTTTCAGCAATGACGCCAGACGATGCGCGAGGGGACGGCTGCAGCTGGCAATTGTCGCATCCACAGGCAACGCGTCAACGGATCCGAACAGAAAAGAGGGCTCGTTCAGACTGAGACATTTCCTTCCTGAGCACAGTGCTTCTCAGATAGGATGTTCATCTCGTAACTACATAGATGAGATGAAGAACTCAACTCATCTGGTTCTGAGTGTACAGTCATTGGGTCCGGAAAAGGCCGGTGGTTAATAACAAATTGGCACGTGTGGATGCTTCTAAATTTGGAAGCACTTAAACACAAGGTTTGACAGGTATCTAGGGCGCAATTGAGAGAAGCCCCTCATCATTAGTTCCCTAGAGCGTGCAACATTACTGGTATATGAAGGTCGACTGAAAAATACTGTTATATTGCATTCCATCTATTTCCTAATCGCCAATCAATCAGCTACAGTGTATGAATTGTTTCTACACTTTCACGCTTTTCATGCGCAACCAAGTCAGCGTTGTTATGACTGTTATGGAGGGATGTGCCAAATAAATTCTGACTATCACCTTACTCAGCGGCGGAATCAACCTATGGCCCTGTCGCTTTCCCTAACTCTTTCTCTGCAGCATACCTGCTTCGTAACCCCAATCATCAGTCGTGTTCGTTAGGCTGCCAACGCTGTCGATTCGGGTATACGCTCCACGAACGAATCGGGCTCCTGGACCCTGAGCCCGACCAATTACTTCGGAATCGCAAATCACCTAGCCAGGCCCGCTGGACGCAAACAACGTGGACCGTATAACTACCAGGCATGTGTCCCATGCAAGACAAGGTACGGAATATTCCTAGTTCACGCTATGAAAACAACTGTCGGATGTCATTTTGACACTGGCAGTAAGCGTCGCTGCGATCGCGACTGGACGGTCGACGGCGGGGCGTGCTCGGGTTGGGAATTTCTGTGATTCTCCCAGCTATAATCAACCCAGGTTTCACATCCTTACCCTCCGGGACCCAAGTGCGACAGCGGGACGTCTGAAACTCATTCGGGCGGGTACTGGTACTCCACCCACCAGTTCTAATGTCGATCTGCCCGTAACACGTCCAGGTGTGGTGTTTCATCCTCCGTGATGGCTTTATTCCTTTACTCTTTACCTTTCCATCAGTAAGTCAGGAAATGACCATCATGGCCGAGAACCCGGTCCCCAGCCACACCCTGGCAGTTTGAAAAGTGTGCTTCCTCGTCTAGCGATTTCTCTCACGTCATCTCTGCTAACTGCACTAGACAATGCGTATAGATGTAAGCATTCCTTTTTCTGTATCGGTATATCGCATCACTGATCACTTTCCAGGCGGAATTCATATGATGAGCGCAACCTTCTAAAGACAACGAGATTAAGCAACTTTTGGAGAAAGTGCTCGTATGTTTCTAAGATGGAAAATTTCTCAATTTGTTCGTAACTAATTACATAAAACTAGACTTCATGTAGCTGCCGGATTAAGCACATATACTACATCAGACAACTCGTAACAAGCTGGAAAGCATCGTGTCCGACTAAAACCTTACATTCAGATTTCCGGCTCCTTCGTCACGCCCATGCTGCTCAGATATCAGCTTGTATTGTCGGGGGTTTGGGCTCAAAGTCGCGTGGCTGCGTTCGACCCAACACGCGTACAGCGCCAGTTCCGCAGTGCTTTCCGCTTTCCGCAAGGGGGATAAAATACCCAAGCCCCACCCTCAGATCGCTCTTCCTACCACCTCATACCAATGAACTCCTACCCATCTGGAATGGTGCAGGACGGACATCAAGAGTCGCAAGCTCCCTTGGCACTGCTGGCAGAAGACGGGCGCCCAGACGCCCAACGTCGGAAAAACAACAAGGCATGCCTCGGATGCCAAACAAATACCAGGTGATAATGCTGAACTGAGGGAAGATCCCAACTCCTGATGTTGAAACTTGACACAGGAAACGCCGCTGTGACAGAGATTGGAACAGGAAGGACGCGAAATGTTCACAATGTACCAAATCCGGAATTCCTGTACGCTGGCCAACATCGGGTCAGCCTCCACGCACTAACCTGTTTAATTGCCTCAGTGTGAGAGAGGGGGGAACAAGCCTCATAAAGCTGCTGTGGACGTTGCTGGAACTCCGTCCAACATTATCAACGACGCTTCTCATGGAACACCCCCAGGTACGAAATCCTCTTTTCGTCGTTTGTAGCAGTCAATTCCATAACGGTCGCATGGTGCATCACATTAGTTGACACTGGCAACCGAAGTGGTCACCATGATCAAGGACAAGGCTCTGAACCAACCCCAGTGTATGCTTCGCCATTAAACACCGACATATCCCCTTGCATTGGTCTTGCGAAACACTACTTCCCAGGCATCTTCGATGAACAACAATTCGTGCAACGCTCAATGATTTCAAGGGACGTGAACTCCGACGAGTACTTTAGTTTGATGTTGCTTGGAGTTTTCCGTCTTCTCGTTAGCGAAAGTGCAGTAGAGTCTGAGAAGCTCCTGAGAAAAGCTTTGCGAGCCTTTTCTGAAGAGCTTGTGGAGCCTACTATAGCGACCATCATGGGTACCATTCTCCTTTCATTTTGGATATCCAAGTCGAGACCACAACTGGGCAAGTTTGTCTTCTAGTTTGATATTCATTAGTTTTACTCTGCCTTTAACAGCCGAAGACTTGTTGAGTAAGTTGCCTCGGGAGTGTATCTACAATTGCTGAATGTCAATCACGCCAGACAACGCTTTTGCATGTCAGGACCCCTCTTCAATTTCATATCCATGTGTTACACTGCTGACTATATCGTAGGGCTTGACTCGCACAGGAAGCGTAATTTCCTTCAGAATGTATCCCTAAACAAGATTAGCAAACTTTTAGAGAAGGTTCATGCTATTGTATGTTTTCAGAAGGCAATGTTTTAATTCGTTCGTCACTAAAAACCTGGCTTTAGGCGGAGGAAGAAGGGTTTAGGTTGCGCGCGCACTGCGATCGCGATGACGACCAGCTCTCGCTGACTACGTCGCAAGCGCGTGGGCAAGGGGCAGAATCGATCATTACCCACACGCCCACGCAAAGGGGTGCCAACATCAACGTTCCGTCGGAACAATTCGCCTCGTCTTTGCCTCCGAGACAGACCCCATCGCAACCATCTTTGGGATACACCACTGCAGCTACATATCCATTCCCCTTGCCCAATATGCTCCCTCCAGGTGTCATTGATGGCGCTACAATGCCCTTTATGCCTCGGCACAGTGCATCAACCGACGGCATGCACTGCCGATTTGATACCTATCCTAGCGCTTTAGGCCCTAATAATTATCTCATGCCTGTAATGGACCTACCACTACAGACAATGGATATGGGCGATGAGTCCTTGCAACGATGACCAAGGTGCACCAATTGCAATGAATTTTTTCAGTACTTGTCTGCTTACGATCTCTCCGAATAGCAAAGGTTTTATGGTGTAGAGATGAGGCGGGCCGCGAGTGGGACGCTTCCGTTATGGGTCGGTGAAATGGAGGATCACAGTCGTTAAGAAGCATACCATACACTTCCTTTCCGTATTTATCGTGCGGGTTCACAACCGTCTGCCGCGGGACAGGCCCAGATGTATCTACTGTATCTCGATTTTATACTGTGTGTATGTGAGATTTCTCGTGGGGCAACTGGCTGCGGTTGGGACTGCGGGTGTTTTGCCAAGTTGGTTTTCCGCTCATGTGTTTTCCAAGCACGGCTTTCTCCCCTCGTTATGTCAATTAATTCATAGCCTCGCTCCATGGTCCTACAGAGGCGTGGAATACATAGATGAACGCCCGCCAGCTAAAGCTGATGCTCGCGCGGATCCGCAACCCCAACATGAACCACAACCACCCTCCGACGCGCGGGAGTGAATGCATCCGCTCTTGAGAATGAGAAGGAACGCAAGGCCCCCAATTGGCCAGTAGCGGTTCTTCTCAGTCGCAGACAACAGGAATGCACGATTGGATGCCGTCCTCGAACACCCGGCTGACGCTTATGTAAGCGTCCATGCTCATCTCGCGCGTTTTGCCGAATAAACTGGATATCCCTTGATCACAGGTTTGGTGGACCTTTTGCTATTTGTTTTCGTTCCCTGCCCGCGGGATCCAGGATGAACGTGGAGGAACAAGGGCATTGAGGCGAGTGCTCTTTCTGGAGGCATCATCAACTTGGTCGGAGTACAAATGACAAATGAACCGGACTAAGACCAGACTCGTCATTCAAGGCTTATTCCGTGGAGTAACCTGAGCTTGAACATCCTGTTCCCTGATACCCAACGAATGCAGCGATATTGTCCTGCCTGCCGTGGCTGGGCCAGGCTCCTTCTCATTCTTTGGCTCGAACCGAAAACGAGTTTATGATTAGTGTGGGCGCATGGAGGTTGAGCAAGGAATTGGTCGTTGCTTACTCTCTAACCAGTTTTTTTGCCTGGGCGCTGTGCATTGGTGTAGGCGCAACTACTACTGCGATCTGTTGAGCCGTTTACAGACAAGTTACAACATTCATCACACCAACGGACACGCCTCATTTATGTGGGAAATATATTCCACATTAGTCTGAATAGCTCTGATACAATCACCATTTGCGCCTGGCGCTGGATGCTAGGCAGCACTCCAGCCTTTATTCGACTGCCACCTCCTAGCCTCAGGCCCCCCAATTTCTGCTGTTCACCCTCGATCGAGGAGGATGCGACTTGATTGGTTGGGAGCGCAGTCGATTCAACGGCCCCAATCAGCAACGTCTCCTGGCTGTTGTCGGCGGTTGAACGACCAGGGGGCCACGGGCCATGCATGGCCGTGGCTGGCTGTGGAGGACACGAGGATAAAGCAGCCGATATCGCGGCTGATGCGACGAAACTCGAAACATAAGGGGCACACCTTGGTGCCTCCCATCTTTTTTTTTTTTGGCTAGAAGCGGGCTTTTCAGCGCATAATATTGGCAGTGAACGATGACGCGAGAGAAGCCCCAAACTCACTCAACACAACACAAGGGGGACGAGAGATGGAAGAATGTGTTTCGTTCGTACTAGGTGAGCGCTACGAAACGAACCTTATGATTGTTGCTGGGTCGCGACAAGACAGTTTATTCGACGCGTGTACTGGGGAAACGGTTCTAATTCAGTGAAGTACATGCATCTGCCATATAAAGGAGTTCAGGGCAATATTTTACCAAACCAAGACGTTGGGCGTGCACATGTTGTTAGTAAGGAACCATCCAGACGACTGGGTAGGAGTCTGGGAACCATCATGATCCATAAAACGAGTTTGTCGTGCTATCATGCCAATTCGATCACCAGGACCCGACCGGGTAATTTTCCGCCTTCTAGGGGCAAGTCCGTGTCAATCAGGGTGAGTCTTATCTCGGGATCATCCTCAACTTCGCCTGGAGAAGGCAGGGTCATGTGGGGATCGGACCTTGTGCTTAAGTGCTTCCAAAACGGGGAGTACATATAACGTGTTTATAACTCACCCAAATGTTTAACAGCCGTTTTAAAACAAAAACAAATCCGCCGATTTTGCCGGTGGGGAGGCGCTTACGCCCAAATCTCTTCCGCTAAAATCGGAACTATGACGTTGAGGCCGGCACTATAGGATGGTGCCATTGAATGTGGCAAATTTAGCCCTGGCGATTGGCACTAGTTTGGGGATATCAATTATCATTTTCATACCCGAGGGGCCAGTCACGTTCGACACCTCACCTGCTGCCAGATTCATCCTGGTTCCGAGAAGGATATCCTGGAAACACTGTACGATGCTGGTGCCTATGCCTCAGTTTAAAGGCGTGCTGAATCACTTCCGTATCGTCCGTCCTTCCTGAATATATTGGCCCTATCCTATCGAACGAATACTAGTGTTCCCTGAATTATAATACGTGCGGTCGTCCACTTGTATTTAAGTTAACTGACGTCACGGGTCTGCCCTCTCCTTTCCCAAATTCTTGGTGCCTCGCCCCAGCGTTTATGCATGCTCAAAGTTCATCTCCCTCTCGATCAACGTGGTTAAAATCCTCAAGACAGGCAATTTGCCATGCTTTTGCTGGCGTTTTGGCTGCATAAAAGTTGAATAGTGGGTGTGGGCCTCACTCAAACCCAAACAGGCCTTCTGTCCGCTTCCAGAATCATTCTCCCCCCCCCCCTGTTTCTTCCGCTCTTCGAACGAAACGTTGGACACGACAAGAGGCTATCTCTCCTTGCTGTCAGTATCATTCTGTTGCCCTCTTCCCACCGATCGCTAGCCTATACACTCTAGGCGTTAATCCAGATACTCTATCGATCGGTTCTTCCCCCTCAACGAACAAAACCCCTCCTTCCTCACCACATCCTCATGCCCCTCCCAGCCGATCCCTCGTGCTGAAAAACAGCTGGCCTTCACCCTGGACCGCCATAATATCCGACGCAAGCAGCGGCGGTTGTTAGTAGGCCCGCGCGCCAGTACGCGCATGCGACGGACAACTGAATACCGCGCTATGGTGCGCAAGTCAGCCACGCTACATACCTCCGTTAGCTGTTATCTCCCTGCCGTTGCCGCCTCATGTGAAGACGTTTGGTGGCCTGCAGGTATCCGAGTGAAGGTATAAAATGCCCAAATTTTCCTTCACCTCTCCCTCCACCTCACATCAACGCTCAAACGTCACCTTTATGTCATCTGCCAACGTAGCTACCACGGATACTCGAAGAAGGGGCACAACAGGGTGCCTGGTATGTCGTCTCAGGGAAAAGGTACGAGCCAACAAGTTTCGGTCCTCCTTGCGGCCCTAATCTCGGTCATCTCTTAGAGATGCGTGCGTCTTCCTGGGAGTCCTGCCTGTTCCGACTGTAACCGTTTCCGGGTACAGTGCCATGGGCATGTAGGATCTATCCCGTCCGAGATGAAGGTGAGTTGTTTATTTAGTGACTCCCAAACTATAAACATCACTCAACAATCATGCGCAGCGCCACTATTACTGCCAAGCCGCCCGAGAGGAGATCCGAGAAGTCATTAACGATGTAGAGCCTCGTGCTACTCTCCGTATGAGTCAAAACCTAATCGGCATGCACTTTATCTCAATGACCTGGTTGTTCATGCTAGATCCATTGCCCGCAACCCAGAGGTTTTCGAATTTGCTGGAACAGGCAAGGAGGCTGAGTCTAGTCAATGATCTAGCCACCCAACATCAGGAAGTCTCATCCCAGTTCCAGATTCGGCAGCAGAGTGATGCGTTTACTCTTGCAGCGTCCGGAGTCAGCAGCTCTGCAACAATGGAATCGACTCCCGCTGAGTCTATCCTCCAATTCGACCCACTCCTTTTTGATCCCTCTTCTGTACATCCCATACATGATTCCGTGAATCTCGTCGATGGCGCACCAGATCGGGTGGTATATCTTAGTCCCACTGGCTCGGAGGGACCCAGCCATCACTCAAGACCGTCGACACTACCCGCACATCCCGAACCAGACGGGACCCCTCAAGATATTCACGTGGTCATCGAGAGCTTGAGGCTGTTCTTACGATACTGCGGATACGAACTTGTTCGTATCAGATGAACGCGTTGCAGAGATGTTCTTGAAGGACCTCTTCCGCCGCCACTACATTAGAGAATCGAATTTTGCTGCCGGTCGGCTAATTTTCCCGTGATGCGTCAGCGATATACGTTCTGGCTAGCGCAAACTACCACACCATTTCTTTTAGTATACCCGTTTACTGTTACTGCCGTGAACCAGGCTACCCAACACACCCCTTGACCACTGCGCACATTATTTTCCGAGCGTCACCCAGCATTGGTTTGAAACCCTCATCTGCATATTAGTATGCACGTCAGCCGTCGAAAGAGTGCACAAATGACCAATGACTCACATATCTGTGTTCCAAATCGAAACACAGACGAGGGTGACCTTTGGTGAATATGCCGCGAGCAGTGAGTGCACGATGTAGCAGTTCAATCTTGAGATCTAGAGATTTAGCTACGATATCGGCGCCGAATGGTTCAGCACCGTTGTTGGCGTTGTCAAACGAGAGCGTAAATGTGAGTGTTACTCTGTCGAATATCAGAAACGATCCCGACAACGCATACTTGGACATGCTCACCGGTTGCCGCTTGTGACCGGCAAAACTTCATGCTCACAGTCGGAAAAGAAGGCAACCCACTCGAGATGTGTACCACTTCCCCATTTCGTGGTGTACTCGTCGCGTTTCTCGGTGTCACTGCTTTTCACCATCGGCGCCTTGATCACAAGCTGACCCCCTCGTGTTTGACGGGAAAGTTGATTAACAGCGTTCCAAACATGTCTGAGGAGCGAGCGGTGTCGTCATGTCCCTTGAAGAAGTCTCCCTCGGAGTAAACGTTAAGTTTGTCCAGTTGAGCAATAATACGAGCACCTCCAGCGTCTTCATCCTCGTCCGAAACACTAGAGATTTCTTCATCTTCATTACCCATCTTTTTAGCAGGAAGGGAAAACGAAGGAAGCGAAAAGGATTCCCAGATTGTGAGGATCAAGACTTCCTGCAGGACAAGTCTTTCTTGTGTAGCACGAGAGCGCGACGGTATGAAGGATCAATCATCGCTTCCCCTCCCATCCCAAATGACGCCTGACTAGACGCATTGATGAGAGGCACGATGTCGCTCTTATTCTTTAGTGGGAAGGAGACGGGGGTGAATTTGGATGGCAAACCACCAGACGCATCCCGAACCAGAATGGCAATGGAAGCTGCCGGCGCAATAGAAAGGACGCTTGATCGCCTCAATGGCGTGGATAAGGCCCTGAAATCCTCTTGGGATCTTTTTGTTGTTCGTCATTGCAAGGAGCGATACTACACTTCTCGGGTTATTAATTCTAGTTTAGTATCTTATTTCACGGGACTGATCGGAACCGGGCACCCACGCGGACGCGGGTTGATGAACTTGGGGAACAGAACCTTTTCCATGTCCAACTTGACCCATGCGACAAGGTCCTAGTTTAGTTTCGGTGCCGTGACGTTAATCCGTTCAATCCAGGTTTGCGGGACATCGTGATATGCAATGAGCACAGGTATGGCGTTTCGCAATTCTGGCTCGTTGCTGCAACCTGACAAGCAACCTCCTTGAAAGAGTGAAATTGGAATGATCGCTGACCGTCGTCAATGAACCTCAAATCGATTGACCGTTCGCAGAGGCCTGGCTACGGTAAGCTACATCGTCAGGTTGTACCCAATTGGGATTATCGCAGTGACTGAGCAGACAGCTTAGCTATCGGTGGAATGGAAAGCATTGCGGGAAGGGTAATGTAGAAAGAATGCAAGATAAGAGTATAACTGAGAATGTATAATAATGGGAGGGCCCTGGGTTATTGAGAATTTACAATATTGGAGGACCTTGTCAGAAAACGAATTCAGTCCCGGGCGAAAAATTTGCAGGACTCGCTACGGAGTAGCGGGAATTATGTAATTCTCAGCAGGTACTCGAGCACCCTCACTCAACCTCAGACAAGCATCCTTGGCCACTCATGTCCACCCAGGAAGGTCTCAACCATAAGCGCAGTATCCAGGACACTCCAGCCGACCTTACCAAAATGCAGTTAGTCCGACAGCGACTCTCTGCATTACAGGGAGAGTTGGGGGTGAGGCCGAAATGGGGGAGATCATGAGACACCTCGATGCGCTGCAAGACATTTTCAGCGATACAAAGAAGCTGGTGAGTTGAATCGGCAAAGGTCTTCCCGTTCCTTGCCTCAAGCACTTGTCAGACAATTCCGTTTTCTTCGGTACAGCAATCCGACCTCGAGAAAATGGGACTGGAGCGGAAGGTTTTCCGACTCGATAGAGCTGCACTGGAGGCACGCATTGAAAAGTCTGATATCGAAGTGAAATACATAGATGCTCTCTGCTTGCAGATCAGCCGAATCCGACGTTCGACCAGCAAGAGAGTAAGTCCAACCTAGTCACACATTGAGCATGATAATGCAATGCCTGTATGCAGTCTGAAGCAGGCGCTCGAATGGTCCTCGATGCCATTCTTCTG